CTGAGTCAAAACCTGGCATTGAAAGAGTCCGGCCCAGACGCCTGTTCTCTCAATTGCGTGAGCTTGAAAAGATTGATAGAGAAGCCTTTCGGGTGTTCTTTGAAGTCAGTGAAGCAGTTACTAATCAGAGTCGAAGCTGAAGGGCACTGTGCCGAACTCTTCATTTGGGTGTCAAATTAGCAGACATGTTTTGTGATGGAGACTGGGCACAAGTTCCATGTCTGCTTTGCTGAATTGATTCTGATTCAGGTTGTTCACAGTTGTTGGGCAAGTTGGCACAAAAAAAAGGTTGTTTGCGACCTGTGATAGTCCTTGATAGTTTCAGTCGTGTTTGCTATGATTCCATGTCATGGGACTCAGACGCGCAGCACAGTAAACTGAATAGTGCACCTCGTTCGCGCCAGCCAGGTGAATCATCATGAAGATCAAAAATGGATGACCATGACTTGTTTGATGAGGTTGATGCTGATTGAGCTGAATGTCTTGTCACGTATTGTCAATTTTAACCTAGACTAAAAAGTGTGCCCTACTGCATGTTTGACTGAGTTTGATGTTGTTTGCAAGGGTTGGAATCCCTGCCAGCACAGTGCTCTTCAGCCAAAAACTGTCTAGAATTTGACTAGATTCAATAACTATTATTCAATGCTTGCCAGCACAGTCAAAGCTTGACTACTTTCAACAAATAAATACTGTTCAATGACTAGACTAGTTGCAAAAACCTTACTTTGTCACAACCCCTGCCAGCACAGTGCTCTTCAGCCTAAATTCAAAACTTTCTAAGCAAGTTAGTTCAAGAACGTTCAACGAGGCCAGGAGTGATTTATGGTTAAGGAACCGTGTGTACTTAGTACATTTTTCATTGTTTTTTGTAGGTTGACTTGTTGCTCGGCTCGTCAACTTATCGTATAAGGCTATGTTGAACTTTCATTTTGTCTGCAAGTTCACCGCAACTTCACTCGTGGCTTCACTCGTGGATGTACCCGTGAAAACACTTTTGGTTCACTCATACTTTTACCCCTTGGTGAATTTTGTTCAAAATCAGGTCTAATCACTTTTGAGTCATGTTTACTCTTTTTGAGTAATTGCTAATCATTTTAGATCTTATTTGTGACAATTTTATGCTTAAAACATGATTCAAAAAGATCAAAACAATTTCAAAAATGCAAAATAAGACTCGCCAGACTTGCCCAAAAGCCTCGCCGGTAAGACCGCCCACTTTGATTTGGTGATTCTCGGTTGGCCGATTCAACCGGCAGTTTCCCGGTTGGCCGGTTAAACCGGCGGTTGACATGCATGGTTGATCGGTTCAACCGGCAGGTTTCCGGTTGGCCGGTTCAACAGGCAGTCTCCCGGTTGCCCGGTTGAACCGCCGGTTGAGCCGGCCAACCGGGAAACCGCCGGATGAGCCGGCCAACCGGGAAACCGCCGGTTCAACCGGCCAACCGGATCAACCGCCGGTTGAACCGGCCAACCGGGAAACCGCCGGTTGACCCGGCCAACCGGGAAACCTCCGGTTCAGTCCCGGTTGCCCGGTTCAACCGGCCAACCGACCAACCGGGCAACCGGGACAACCGGACACATCCGGTTGAACCGACTCGTCTCGGTTAGTCGGCCGGCCGGATACTCCGATGAGCGCAGTTAGATGCATGTGTGCCCAATTGATTAGCGAAATCCTAGACTGCGTGCCCAATTTTCTTGCGCCCTTTACTTCACATTGGGAGCGCCACAGTGGAAAGATACTTCGCCACCTCAGAGGCTTCGCACTAACATTGAATGAGGGGGCGTGGGGTTGCTAAATGATCCTTGTCGAGTGCGGGCGCACTGGTGGTACAGGATTTTGTTCATCAACCATATGGCGAGATTTGTGGCTGAAATTAGAGTGCTCGGCTACCGTTGGCGTCTCAAAACGTATCATGGTGCTTCTCAGCTGCTTCTCATCAGTTGTAGTTTCTTGTTCCCAGGTCCACATGCAAAAGTAAGTACGAGTTGTACACTGTACTCAGTACGGCATGTGCTTTGATAGTTGTTTTGAGATATATTGACCGAAGGGGGAAACATGTTTACAAAGAAATAACAAATCATAACAAATCTTCCAGGAGCAAGGACGCGACTAGGAGCAAAGGGCATCGCTACTAGGAGCAAGGACGCTACTAATGTTGGATCCTGATTAGTAAAGGGGGGTCCCCCCCCCCTCAAACAAATAGGAGTCCCTCTATAATCTATAATAAATTACCACCAAAACAAATCTGGATTCCTGGTGAGGGATCTTTTGTAATTGATTGTAGTATTCATTATCCTTTTGCTTTGCAGCCTCAGATCTTCAGCTCAAGAGAAGCCCCAAGCTTTCAGCTTCCTCAGCTTCCATGGCTTCCTAAGTAAAGGAAGATTCCATGAGCAGTTTTTCCAGTGGAAAAAACTTTTCACAATTGAGGACCCAAAAACAAATTTATTATTGAGGATCAGGTGCCTTCCTGGTCTACCACCTTGAAAATTTGTTTAGGAGCAATGTTTTATAAAGGGTTTAATTGGGGAATTGGTGGTTTTGGTCAGCTGTCAGTTTTGAAGAAACCTAGAGAAAGCTATATCAGCTAATGAATCATAATCATTGGCCTCAGGAGCTAAGTAAAGGGAGATTCCATGTGCATTTTTCCAGTGGAAAAAAACTTTTCACAATAGAGGTCCCAAAAACAAATCTATTATTGAGGAACAGGTGCCTTCCTGGTCTACTACCTTGAAAATTTGTTTAGGAGCAAT